GACCGTAAAATAAAAGGTAGAAGAATTTAAATCATGTAGTATGGAGAAGATTTTTATTAAATGAATTTGAAGTGAATAGAGGTCTAAGACAAGAAGATTCGTTATTCGCGGTGCTTTTTAGTCTGGTATTGGAAACAATAATCAGAAATAGCTGAGTTAAAACGACTTGATCCATCTTCAACTATGAACATAAATGTCTGGCCTTCGCTGATAATCTTACTATTTTAACAAAAACAGGAAAAGGATTACAAAATATTATAAAAAGATTAGAAAAGAAGGCAAAATATTTTGACCTAGAAATAAACCAGGAAAAGTCAAAGTACATGATACTCGGAAATAAAGAGTAAAAAAAGAGGGACAGTTTACTTTCATATCTAATGAACCCAGGGAATGTAATTTGAAGGAAAATCCAAATATTTATCGAGATAACAAAGTTAGGGATATAGAAAACATTAATAAGGATAAAAATGAAAAATCAAATACGGAGAAATTGAAAAGATGGAAAAGAACAATGCTTAGAGCTATATATGGAGATAAAAACACGGTGGAAGGTCGGGTGCTACGAACAAATAGGGAGATAGAGGAACTGTATAAAAAACCAAGCATAAGTAGCTTCATAAAAGAACGTATAGTGAGATGGAAGCGGCACTTGATGAGAATAGAAAGGAAGAGGATGCCAAAGATGATTGCGAAAGGACGATCCAGACAAACATGGTTTAATAGCGTTCAGGAAGATTTCAGGAAAGAGGGAATTGATGGTTGGCAAAAAATAGCAACAAACAGAAATAAATGGAGGAGAATCGTAAACCAACGTAGTAGGCAAGGATCATGATTGGACAAGAAGCCATTCCAGTTGATATAAGTTTTGTAATACATAATATTATATTAATTGTATTTTAGCCCTATGCCTTCAAGGCCTGTTGAACCTTGTAAATAGAATTAAAAAAGGACTTTTTTGATGAAAAACATAATAGGTTGGCTTAGGCTTACAACAAACCAATTATTCTATTACCAAATCTTAATGCGTTAATTTTTTTATGTACTATTTATTACTACATACCGCAATAGTATAAACTTTATAAACATTTCAAGAATAGTAATTTAACTGACAATTTATACAAGTTAATTTAGTTACAAGAAAAGGTCAGTTAAATTTAGTTATTTAGATTACTTTTATTTACTTCGATATTTCGATAACAAATCAATGAAATCGATTTAATTTGTATTACTTTTACTCTAAGGCACAGTCCAACAAGTTCTTAATGGCAACTTAAACGTTTAACACTGCATACACCTAAGTTACCTAAAATAGATTTAAAATTTTATGCCGTAATTGTATGAATGCCATCGTTGTGTGGTCCAAAGATTCACTGATGAGTTAATTTTATACGAGGCAAAATTGCTATACTTACAAAAATAATAGAAAACACAAGTAGATGGTAGGTACAGCGTTATAACTTGAACGTCGTGTTTTGGAAGTTGGTGCCCACCTGCCGACCGCTATTAGTTTTAATTGAATTATTTACCATGGTGGTCCTTTCTGATTTTTAGTGCACCCATCAATTTTTCGTAATGACCATGTATAACAACAGGAACTTTGGGATAAAGATATTATTTGTTTAATTTGCTGAACTAAACATATACATTAAAAAAAAATGTATATTTTTTAAATATTGACAAGCATATATGTATATATATATATATATATATATATATATATATATATATATATATATATATATATATATATATATGTATGGTAAAACATGTTTTTTGTCAAACATGTCGTCTTATTTTTTTACTTTTTAAACTTTGTAACATGTTCTTTAATTTTTAAGTATTTTAAAGTTTTTAAAATTTTTAATGCCTTCAATAATTCAGATCACATTATGTTATTTAACGTTGTGTTTTATATGCTATGAATCTTACTTTCTGGTAAGTTTTTATAACTTTTATATTACATCAGCCTAATGTTATAACACAGTAATTTTCATTGTAGACCTTGATAAAGGTGGCAAATAACCACCGAAAGCTCGGATTTCAGAATAAATAGTACGCCTTAGCAAAGCTCTATTTTTTATTGACTACCACACCCAAAAAGAAAAAAGTATTTACATATTTTTTCCAAACTAGTCAAAAAACTTTGGACTACCTTGTCTTTATATATATATATATATATATATATATATATATATATATATATATATATACCCATGGACACCGAAAAATGTAAACAAATCAGTCAAAACCAAAGAATGTGTACAAACATTCTTCCGTATCCCATAGACACCGATGCTATATGTGAAGCCCAGCTTTTGAAACCTCTCAGCAACTTATCAAAAACTTACCAGATGTCCATGCTTTTGATACAAGGTTACAATGTACAAGGAATTTACCGAAATTTATGGTTACTAACCATTTCCGATCCATTACCAGTAACAATCAAATGTGCAAGAAAAGACGTCACAAATAATCAAAACAAATTCAATCTTAAGAGTAATTACCGAATGTATTACATTCATCGGCAGTACCAGAATTCATGCAAGAGACCAAATTAAAAAATTATATAATACAAATATCACGTATAGAAATCACCCAGTTAACGTACCCTACAGATGCTGTGACCATTTTCAGACAGAGTCACCTATCAAAATTGAAACCACTTAAACTCAGTAAAATCAACGTAAATGACTTAAATATTGCACAACACAAATTGGACCAATATTCAGAAGAACTGTACCATATTATGAGTCAATCATTCATTGAGAAACATCTACCCTTACTCACTATATTAACCTTATCCCTGATTATTATCCTAGTTACCTTATACCTTTTCTGCAAATAACTAACCAAAATATTCCCAAAAATTACAATCCTCCTATCCCAGGATCAGCCTCCAACTTCACTACCACTCAAAAATTCCATTAAACAGAAACTTCAAAGCTTAACCTCCTTCAAAAGAAGACCCAATGTCAAACAAGAAAGCGAAGAAGAAGCCGAAACACCAATTACCCTGTAAAAGTCAAAGCAAAGGCATTGACTTTTCACTAAAAAGAGGAGCTGTTATATGAGAAAATATTAACCTTGAACTAGATTAAGTTCTCCGACTTCAGATTTCATCATCCCATTCCCGTAGAAACCGCTGAGCACGCAGAAGAACTTTGTACGAACCGTTGGCCAATATTCATGGGAATAGCGATTCAGCACTTCATACCAAACCTATAAATTAACCATTCAGATGCCGGAGCCACTCTTAGCTGCAACTTCGACCAGTCCAGTTATTGTAGTCATTTTAAATTTATTTAATTTTGGTCTATTATTTAATATTTAATTTATAACATATCTAAGAATGACATTCGGACTCAAAAATACACCCTTAACATTCCAGAGAGTAATGGACAACCAACGTACGAAAAGGACTTATAGGAGAAATATGTCTAGTCTACATGGACGACATTATTGTATTTTTTTCAACCTCTCTTCAAGAACACATGGTAAATCTTAAAAAGATTTTTGAGAGATTAAGAGAAACAAGATTTAAAATACAAGTTGACAAATGAATTCCTGAAAAAAAAAACGAATGCTTATACTAATATAAAAATTACCACTAATAAGTTATGCAAGGAACACTATTGGTTATAAATACTAAAATAATTAACTGAAAACGTCTAAATAGGTTTTTAAAAACTAAATAGGGTTTTTATAGATCTGATATAATGCTTGTAAATTGTAAATTTTATGACATAGTACTTTCAAAACAAAAATTACAATATCTGCTATTCTGTAAGTTTCAGCATGGTCAGTTCAAAATTCAAACAATGACATTCTTATAAAATTTTGCTGTAGTCTGCCAAAGTGTTGTACAAAATAATTGATATGACAACCCTGTTAGTGTAACGTTTGATGCATTTCGAAGGCGAAAGTAATGCTTATCTATCGATGATAAATATTACCGATGTTTCAGATGGAGCCACATCTCTACAACATAATTTTTTGATGCCGTCCGTTCAAGATATAATCAAAGAATATAGACGCTTATTCTTGTTTAACCAGATTTTTCATATGTTTAGAAAAATATATTCAATGTTTTATAGCAAATATTTTCCACTTTTACAGTTTTATAATTATGTTGTTATTAAATGGTGGCCAGTTTCTTACCAGTAGCTTTATTATAAGCCGGAACATATTATTTTTTTTCTATTGTGGCAAAACTGTACATTGTGAAATTTAAAAAAATTCCTAAGAATTTGTCAGTATTATATCTGTATGCTGTATGAAAATTAATAAAATTGCTTATTTGGTTTTCCTGCTGTATACTTGGAAAAAAGTAGTTTTTTTGAGTTTTTCCGAAAACGAAAATATGAAGTTTGCTAAAAATTTGTCAAAATACTTCTAGTTATTACATATACCTTCTTATTTTTTTTTTCAAATCTTTTGAATGTATAGTTTATATTTGGGGGGTGCAGATCAACCTTACACACTTTTTAATCATTTTGTTTACTAAAAGTTTTGATAAAACCGTTGACGTTTCTTATAAAAGATTCGTTAATTTCAACCTTTTGTTAAATAAAGTAACAGGGATTTATTATACATAGTGTTATCTTGGCTGCTAAGGGTCCAAGAACTGCTTTGTTTTAAAACAGATTTCCAAATTGAATTTGGACCAAATTAGACAAAGATATTGTAAATATTATTAGGCTTAAAAAGTGCTATTATAAAAATTCTATATTCCGTCTATATAGTTGTGGCGAAAAAGGTTTAGTTTTACTAACTTTTTTGATCTATTACACAAAGTTTACAAAATGACAATAAGTAATTTTATATATATATATATATATATATATATATATATATATATATATATATATATATATATACTTCATTATAGTAATTAATACAGTAGCCGAATACCTACTCGAATATGGTTTTTTTGAATATTTTATTTTGTTCTCACACCTAAGAGATAATTCTTGGTTCAAAGGGTGTAAAGACCAACTGCATATAATTTAACGATTTTATTTATATTAATAAACAATTCACGCTAGAAAAAATTGATGTTACAAAGTGTCTAGAATCCAATTTAGGAAATATCTAACATTGGTGTATATGGCCGGAGCTTCACCACAATTAGGATAACCGTAAGACACTACCCCCATAATGTAATACCTGTAAATTTCGTCCACCTTTAGTTCCTTCATAACAGGTCCTCCACTGTCTCCATCGCAAGTGTCATGTCCATCTTTCATGCCGATACAAAGTTGACGATCATTTAAAAGTTCTGTATCCTTGCTATAAATGAATTAAATTTAATTAAATATATTTTTTGATATTTTAAAAGAGAATTAAGACTAACAATGTGTGATAAAATTAAGTAAAATAGAAACGAGGGTTCTACTGCTTCAGTTTTGGTATATAATTGTCATGAAAAACGGTCGCTTTTACATGCGTCTGGACAAAATTTTGACTGGATTTCCTGTAATAAGAGTCAAGTTGGATTAAAAAACTACTACAGATCGATGAAAATCTAATAAAGCAACATTTGACTTATTGACTTGATTTTAGAGAAGTCATGAATTTACCAATGCCATATCAATCACTCGTATGAATATTGGCTAATATCACTTATTAGCTCTGATTTTAGTGGCGGACTTTATAACAAACCAATAGTTTTGATCCATGCCTTCTATGAATGTATTAAGTACTTGTAGTTAAAAAATAAAGTTTTCATTTGCGCTTATGATTGCACCTAGGAGCTTGTGTTTGAGGTTCTATGTATATTTGTTGATGTAACTGTTCAGTGGAAAACGGGAATCTTATGTTCTTCCAGTTACTTGCTGCTAAATATTATTTGGTTTTCCGTGGTTTTAGTAAAGAACTCAAGACCGTACATGAAACTATTTAATACTTCTATACGAATGTTGTAATATAGAAAAAAACTTAATTTTTTGTAATAATGCAACTAAAAAATATTACAAATATATTAATATTATAATAATATATTACTTGTTGTTACTTCAATGAATTAAAACAGAATGAATGCCGAATGAGGATTTGTTAGGCAGCCAGGTACCTTCGAAAATATGCCATAACGGGAATTTCTATCTTCTCATAGCGATAAGCTGTCTCCAAGCTATGCTTGCGCCGTTCCAAAGACGACAGCGACATCGTTAGATCTTTTAAAGTTATAACATAAGCCGCTCCCTTTCAGTAAGGGTGTTCAAAAAATCAAATGTATAAAGTCCGTAAGTCAATATTGAGCTGAAATTATAAAGTTTATCTAAACACAAAAAAAACAAAGTTGATTTTCATTCGGTAGCACACATACCTTCACAACCGGACGTTTGTATACGCCAGAGTTTGTTTTTAGCGTTACACTACGCACAATTCCGTCACTGCCGGAATGGATGTCAGTTACTCTACCTAAGAGGTTCCAGTCCATCTTCTTTAACAAGTACTAGGGAACCGATCTTGAGAAGGCAACTGCATTGTTTCCTCTACTTGACACGTTGCTGAAGAGAAGAGGCGTATTCTTTGGACCATCGTGTCCAATAGCATTGCACCATTTGCTGTACCTTTTGAAACCTGCTCATTCTGTTTTCCATAACAGCTAACAGATTGCGGTCAAAAACTGATGTGAATGGTGATCCAACCAGAAAATGTGCAGGTGTGAGAGGAAGTAGGTCTGAGGGGTCATTCGACATAGTCAAAAGAGGTCTGGAATTGAGAATTGCTTTAATTTGAATCAAAACAGTGGAAAACTCCTCATAGGAGAGAACCATATTGCTAATTACTCGTTTAAGGTAGTATTTTAGCGATTTTACCCCCGCTTCCCAGATACCACCAAAGTGAGGTGAACGCGGCGAAATGAATTTCCAATCGATTCCCTCAGAAGAGAGTGTGTCATGTAAGTCAGAATTGTTAGTCTTGAGAAAGTTGGAAAGTTCGTTGTTGGCACCTTTAAAGGTGCTCCCATTAACGGAAAAAATAGAAGCTCCAAGTGTATAGCCTTTGTGGCCAGACAAATAAAAAGTGCTACCTAACCCTTAATAGTCATGTAGTTTCTCGTAAGATGGCCCTTTAAAGGAAAAGGTCCCGCATAATCAAGTCCCGAGTGGGTAAAGGGTCGTGAAGGAGTAAGACGTGAAGAAGGTAGATTACCCATTAAATAAATTTCGAGTTTTGGAGCTGCCTTGAAGCATGTGGTTCAGTTTCTAACAACCTTTCTACCGACATAGCGTCCATTGAGAGGCCAATATTTCTCTCGCAAGGAAGATAAAAGTAGCTGTGGACCAGCATGCTGTAATTTTATGTGTTCATGCCGTACAAGTATGTCTGTAAAATGATATTTTTGTGGAAGTACGATGGGATGCTTTCCCTCGTATGAGATGTCAGCGTTGTGAATTCTTCCACCAACTCGAATTATGTCAACTTGATCAAGAAAAGGATTCAGGGTGAGAAGTTTGCTTTTATGATCGACCTTGCCATGTTCTTTGAGATGTGTGAAATCATCAGAGAAAGACTGATTTTGCACAATGCGAATAAGACAAATCAGAGAACAGGTAATTTCTTCACATGTTAAATTGGTAAAGGTTCTATCTGGCATGATTAGCCTGGAATTTTTGCAGAAACGCAATATGTAGGCTACAATTCGTTGTAATTTAGTCCAGGAAGAAATTTTGTAAATCATGTCGAGATTTATGCAAATTCTTGCGGATAGATTAACAGAAGATCGAAGTTTAGTAATTTTAACATGTTTGAAGGGTTGGTGAGGCCAGAAATTGTCAGTCAAACTGTCAATTAGAATTAGAATTAGTCAAGGATGGAACCAGTGAAATTCTGTTCGCAACGAAAGGTTTTAACAAGTTGGGAGGTGTATTAATCCATGCTAGAACAATGCTGGAATCACACCAATAAACTATTTCATCAAAATTAATTTGTAGTGATTGCTTTACTTTGTCCATCAATTCGGATAAGAGTAGGGCTCCACAAAGTTCAAGTCAGGGAACTGTAAGAATATGTTTCAAAGGAGCTACCCTGGTTTTGGCACAGAGTAAATGACAACTTATATTTCCCTGGGCATCTAAGGAACGAATAAAAATACAAGCACCATATGCTGCAGTAGACGTATCGAAAAATCCATGTAATTGTATGGAGGTAAAATTGGAAACAGTAGTATATCTAGGGAATTGTAATTTATTAAGATTGACTAATTGAAATTGATAATTAGAGCATTTTGTATGAATGTTCATGGGTACAACTTCATCTCAGGAAATTTTTAGACGCCATAAGTCTTGTAGAATGATCTTAGCGGTTATTGTAACTGCTGCTAAGAGACCAAGAGGATCAAATATCTTTTAAATTGAAATTACGAAGAGACAGAATGTGTCTTTTCGTAATCTTAAAATTGTTTGCAGTAGGTTAAGCATTAAAGAAGAAAACATCTAATTTAGGATTCCAAAGGATACCCAATGTTTTGACAGTTTCATTGGAACCTATCATCGATTTTTAATTCGGTTGAGTTTGATTTTCATTTACTTAAATGAAAGCCATGTTTTGAAAGTAATTCAGTAATTAAATATTGAATACGTTTAAGTTCGTCTAAGGTGGAAGCACCGGTATGAAGATTGTTCACGTAAAAATCGCGTAAAATTATAGACGAAAGGAAAGTTGTCAGAGTAAATGTGAGCTACTTCTTGCACACATCACGTTGCTAAAAAGCTGGAAGAAGCAGTGCCATAAGTTACAGTATTTAAAGTATAAGTCTCAATAGATGAATTTGGATCAGATCGCCACAATATTTTTTTAAACAACGCTGATTTTATTTTATAAGAATCTGTCGATACAGCAGTTAAAGCAAATTTGTGTTTTCGAAAACGTAAAATAATAGTGAAAAGATCTTCTTGTAGTGTAGGACCTACCATGAGTATATCGTTCAACGAAATGCCAGTGTCACATTTAGCAGATCCATCAAATACGACACGGATCTTGTTACCTCTGTATACGCAATGATGAGGAAGAAAGAAGTCTGGATGAGATACTAAATTTAAAGAAAGTTTAGTCATATGATTTAATGATAAGTATTTACTAATAAATTGAGTATATTCTCTTTTTAAAGTTTTGTTCGAGTTTAATTTCTTTTCCAGAGAGAAAAAACGTTTGGTAGCTGAAATCTCTGAATAACCAAGATTTGACAGAGGTAACTTTAAAGGACGAGAGACAATGAATCTGCCTATAGAATCAAAGGAAGTAGTTTCTTTAAAGTGTTTCTCACATTAAAGTTCTTCTTCAGAAAAGAACTTGGTTTTTGGAAATTCTTAAAGTTCCCAGAATTTCGAGTAGCGCGTGTAACTGATTTTCGAGATTTCTGTTGTTAGAAAAGTGACAATTTGTTTTGTTACAAAAAAGAAAAAGTATAGAACATTATTAAAATCGTCATAGAACTTCTCAACTTTCTCAAGGCGTAACTGTGAATCCCTAAAGTTAATTTCAGTTGCAGGTAACTCTTTGACAGAGTTAAAATAATTTGAGAAACGAGTTAAAGTGTCCTTAATTGAAGTGCCTTTAATTTTAGCATTATCAGCAGCTTCAGCCATAGTGAAAAGTAAGTTTATTATGCAAAATAAGTAAGGTACAATGTTAAGTATTTAACTTGTGTATTAAATGAAAATGTAAGTATTTGTACTTAAAAAGATATAGAACAATAAAATTGCTGTAATAAAATAGCACAGAAAATGTGTACACCAATAAAGTGTTATAAATGTAACTTTATTTATTTATAAAGCGTGCCCGAATCGCTGCAAAGCTGAATCGGTTGGTAAAGAGTACCCAGAAGTTGCAAAAAAAGAAAATAAGTAAAATCTATCCAGAAAGGATGTAAAAATGACGATAATGTGTGATTACGAGTCGCAAATGACGAACCGTATTGGTTATATAACCCAAAAGTGTGTGTAAATTATAGCAAATTGCAATAAATATATCTAAATGGGATGTAAAAATATATATATGTTGAGTGATGTAGTGTAAGAAAGCAAAAATTATTTAAAAATAAATAAAATTAGTTATTTTTAAATGTAAAATAAGGAATAAAACCCTGTAATACCGCACCACCGCGTTTATACCAAGTAAAATATTCAAATAAATGCAAAATAGTGATTAATAACAAACAATTAAGATAGAAATAGTTTTCCACCGAATGAAAACAAATCAAATGTAAATCTCATGTGAAAATGTAAAAAAATGAGATAATGGTAAAAGGAAAAGCACTAACCTTTAATATTTCGTATTTCCAA